CTATATATATATATATATATATATATATATAGAGAGAGGGGGGAGACAGAGAATTTAATACTTATTTACTTGGCGGGTTCACCATAAATTTTGATGACAAGAGGAATGGATAGGAATCACCACCATATTGTGTGTGAGAATGTTCTCCAAATTATATCAATGTAATCTTTAAACTTTTTGTTTGCCTTTTTTATTTATTTTTAATTGTACACGATTTGGGCGAGTTACTCATTCGCAACTAAGCCAAAGTCTGAGTACGCTGGAGTAGTGGTTCAAAACACCAAGAGAGCTTGCCATCTTGTCATGAACGATTTTCTCAATAGGGGATTTTTTTAAGGGAAAACTACAAATAACCTCAAGACTAGATTTTCTATACAAGTTACCTCCAACCAGAAAACATTTCTCATTTTTTACCTTAAAATATACTTTCTTAGCAAATACCTTTCAAACTAAAAATAAAAATAAAATCTAAACTATCCTCTCTTATTTTTACCCATACGTCTGTCTCCTATTTCCCATGAAAAGGCCATCCGGCATATTCTTAGGGTGGTCCGGCATATTCTTAGGGCAGTTCGGCAGTGTAATGTCAGTCCGGTAAATAACAACTTCGGTCCGAAAGTACAAGTGGTTGTCCGGCACTGACAAAGAACGGTCTAGCAATAGACCCATGCGGTCCGGAAACAGACCCATGCAGTGCGGCAACAGGCCCAAAGTATGGTCTGGCAATGTCAAAGAGCATTCCAACACTTTTTTGGCTCATGCTGATCATCTTCATCTGTAACAAATTGCATAGGAAGCTGCTAAATATCAAACTCAAATTGATTACTTAGACATGAGACAAAAAATTCGATGTTAAAGCCAAAATTGATGGAGTGTTGTCAGATATTGAAGCATTAGATCTGAGCACCCAAGAGGCTGGGGTGCTATCTGAACAGGCTGTCTTGGAACGCAACCAAAAATTTTTGGAGTTGGAGGAGCTTCGTAAATTAGAGGAGATTTGCTGAAGGCAAAGACCCATAAATAAATGGCTTAAAGAATGAGATCCTAATACTAAGTTTTTTCATGCAATTGCCAGTACGAGAAGAAGGCAAAATGATATTTTTGGTCCATCGATTCCTGGAATTAACTCAAAAGATGAAAGTGTAATTGAGAATGCAGTAATTAATAATTTTAAAAATACCTTCACTAAAGAAGTTAATGTTACTCCTTCTTTGAATAGAATCCCTTTCAAAATTATATCACTGGAATTGAAAAATCAGTTGGAGAGGGAGGTTACAGATCAAGAGTTACAGAAGGCAGTCTTTGCTTTACCTGGAAACAAGATGCCTAGACCTGATCGTTTTCCTTTGGCGTTCTTTCATAAATTTTGGAACGTAGTTAAAGGGGAAATGCTAGAGTTTGTAAAAAGCTTTATGATTAGGGGGCATATCTTTAAAGGGGTGAATTCTACCTTTCTGGCTCTTGTGCCTAAAGAGGCTATGATCTAACCTTTCAGATATAAGGCCGATCACCTCACTAACTAGTTTGTATAAGATTATTGCAAAAGTCTTGGCTAAGAGGTTAAAATCTGTACTTCCTCTTCTTATTTTTAGTACCCAGTTTGCGTTTATCTTGGATTGTCAAATTACGGATAGTGTATTGGTTGCCCAAGAATGTATCCATTGCGAAGTTCTGAGTAAAAAGCCGGGTATTCTCTTTAAGTTGGATATGGAGAAACGTATGATCGGGTGGAATGGGGTGTGCTGCTAAAAATTCTGAGAGTTATGGGCTTTGGCAAGAGAAGGAGGACTTGGATTTTTGGGTGTATTTCTTCTGTACATTTCTTGGTTTTATATAAAGGTAGTCCAATAGTCTTCTTCAATGCCACTAGAGGGCTGCGTTAAGGGGATCTTCTCTCTCCTATCTTTTTTACAATCTATGCGGAATGTTTCAGTTTAATGCTAAATAGGGTGGAAAATTTGGGTCACTTTACTGGGTTTCAGATTTCTAACTCCGATATACATATCTCCCATCTCCAATATGCTGATGACACCCTTATTTTCTATGAGGCGGAGACTACCCAAGTATCAAATGTTGTCAGGTTTTTGGAGATTTGTGAAGTTACGTTGGGACTTAAAGTTAATTTTCACAAGTCTTCTGTGGTTGGGATTAATTGTCCTGACGTTGTGGCAGTGGAGATTGCAAACTTGACGGGTTGTGAGATTGGTTTTTTTCCTATAACTTATCTTGGTCTTCCTATCTCCGACTCAAGATTTTCTACTGCTGTCTGGGATATTAGCTTGAACGAGTTCAAATGAAATTAGATCTTTGGTAACACAAAATACTTGTCTTTGAGGGGGAGGGTGACCTTATTG